TTGTTTTACAATACCAGATGAGTAACAATGCAAGACGCAAACCAAAGTTTTTGTGTCATTATGTACTTGCATAGTATGTCTTTGTCCAATACTTTTTGTTCTATTGCACTGAAAAGTGGTGACTTAGGGGGGATGCAGACCAGGGCGTCCAGGACGCCCTGGTCCGGAGTGCCGCAGGGCTATGGCAGCCTCACCGCGGCGCCTCCCCGGCGACCCTGAAAGGAGCGCCAAAAAGGCACTCCTTTCATAAGTCAGAGAAAGGGCGCCCTAAAAGCGGCGGGCACCCTTTCTCTGACTTATCCCCCACAGCGCGTCCGGACGCTGCGGGAGGAGGTCGCCCTGAACGCGCCGGGCGTCCGGTGGCCCGGAAGTGTTCAGGGCGAGCTCAGGAAGAGGAAGGGCCGCCGTGCGTGCGGTGGCACCTCCTCTTCCTGGCCTCGGAGACGACTCAATTAGTCGTCTGCCGAGGCCTTTAGATTAACACAATTCCAGCTCATTACTGCAAACAGTAACTGGTTACCAAGGTGACTGGTTGGAAGAAAGAGGTACTTCTTAGCTCTGCTTCTAAAGGCATCCACTTGTATGCTGTGTAACTTTATAATATCTCAATCAATGCTAGCCTTTTGCTGATAGGAACATAGGGATTTACCTTATGATAAATCAAGCCATTGGTCCATCTAGCCCAATTTGTCATCTTTGGAAATCAGTAGCTTTCCAAGCTATTAGGTAGAATTTTTCTAGCCCTATCTAGAGATGCCCAAGAGTGAACTTGGATCCCTCTGTGAGTAAAGCAGTGATGTGGTGAGCAGGAATCATGGGTATCAGAAGAACTTGCCAATAGTGTGCATAATAGTCACATTGCAGCAATGGGCATAGAAAGACACCCCCCCTGACTTGTCGGGAGGGGTATCTTGTTGTATTGGCCAAATAAGGACAAAGACTCCTCATTGGTCAGGGCGTGGAGGTGAAGATCTCACCACCGCATCCAGGCCAACAGGTTGTGGTTAATAATTCTCGCATGGAGGCTGTTATGCAAGATTTGGATGAGAGTTTGTTGCTTATAACTCGGTGCAGACATGATAATTTGCCTCTTCCTACGCTTTGTTTATTCCCACTAGGAGTTGTTCCTAAAAAAGCTCTTGTGGAATTTAGGCTAATTCACAATTTATCATACCCTAAAGGTGAATCGGTGATGATGCCATTGACCCAGGGCTTACCTCTGTTAGGTACAGATTGTTTGACTCAGCAGTCACGATGATTAGGAGTTTGGGTTCAGGTGCCCTGCTGGCTAAATGGGATGTTAAGTCCGCTTTCAGACTTCTCCCTGTATACCCAGATGATTTTGATTTGCTCGGTTTTCAGTTTGAGGGCAAATTTTATTTTGACAAAGCAATGCCAATGGGGTGCTCAATTTCTTGTGCTGCGTTTGAGACTTTCAGCACTTTCCTCCATTGGTGTGCTGTTAAGAGAACTGGCAAAAATTCTATTGCCATTATTTAAATGATTTTCTATTAGCTGGTTCTCCTGACTCCTCACAATGCCTCAATACCCTAGTACAATTTCAAGAATTGATGCAGGAATTGGGAGTGCCTCTTGCCGAGGAGAAGACAGAGGGTCCTAACACTCAACTAACATTTTTGGGCATTGAGATAGACACTATTGCAGGAATTTCTCATTTGCTCTCTGAGAAATTGGTATCCATGAGGCAGCAAGTCCAACTTATGTTAAATAAACAAAAGGCTACCCTGCTTGAATTTCAATCACTTACAGGCTTATTAAACTTTGCCTGTAGGGTGGTAGTTCCAGGATGAGCATTTGGTGCTAGACTTTACAAGGCCACTGCAGGATTAGTGGTTCAGCATCACCACATTAGAATCACAAGGGGCATCTGTGAGGATCTTAAGGTTTGGCACTCCTTTTTGGAGAATTATAATGGTGTATCATTTTGGAGAACTGAAATGCTGCTTTGTGCAGATTTTCAGGTGCATTCTGATGCTGCTGGTGCCCATGGCTTTGGTGTTTTTTGGAATGGCCAATGGGCTGCTGAGGCCTGGCTTCCTGCATGAGTGGAATCTGGCCTTACCAGGGACCTTACTTTTTTGGAATTATTTCCAATCATTGTTGCTGTCTATTTATGGGGAAGCCATTTCACTAATAAGTCTATTTGGTTTTGGTGTGACAACCAAGCGGTAGTGCATGTGGTGAATTCACAGTCCTCCAAATCTCCTAAGGTGATGGGTTGGGTGAGGGCAATGGTTTTACAATGTTTAAAGTTTAATGTATTGTTTAGCGTTCACCATGTTCCTGGTTTGCTTAACCCTTTGGTGGACGCCCTTTCTCATTTTCAGATTACTAGGTTCCGGCAGTTAGCGACCCAGGCTACTTTACACCCGCTGGAGGTACCGACATTTCTCTGGAACCTTGGATATTAGAAGTTCGCAGGGCAATGTTGAATTCCATTGCCCCATCAACATGCAAGTCTTATCAAACAGCCCTAAATTCTTTTAGCCAATTCATGTGTCAAATTGGGGAAGTAATAACTTGGCCTATTAATGTGGATTTGGTACTTCGTTTTATTGTTGCGCTCAGACAATTGGGACTATCACCTGTCACCATCAGGGGCAGGTTAGCTGCTTTGGCATTTTTCTCCAGGGCTAATGGTTATTTTGACCCAACTGTTGACTTTAGAGTCAAAAAGGTGGTAGAAGGATGGTCCAGAAAGTCTATTATCTCAAAGGACGCCAGAAGACCAATAAATGGCCCTGTCCTGGCTTTGTTATGGGAGCAACTGGCCGTAGTATGCTATTCACATGAGGAATTGGCTTTATTTAGGGCAGTGTTTGCTACTGCATTTTTTGGTGCCCTGAGAATCAGTGAGATGGTTCCTGGTTCAAGGAATAATACATCAGGCAGGGCACTTCCAATTTCTGATATTAATTTAACTGATCATGGTATTCAGATATGCATTAGGTGGTCTAAGACTGACCAGTTTGTCAAGGGTCAGTCTTTATTCTTAGCTAAGGCCCAACGGAGTCAAATCTGCCCTGTGGTGGCAATGGATAACTATTTAAGAATCAGGCCTAAGGTCCCTGGATATCTGTTTCTTCATTTATCAGGTTTGCCCCTGACACAATTTCAATTCAGGGCAGTGCTTAAGGAAGCAGTTAAGAAGGCTGGGCTGCCTATTGATTCCTTTTCTTTGCACTCCTTTCGTATAGGAGCTGTGATGGTTTCTGCCACTCATGGCATGAGTGAAACTGATATTTGTAAGATTGGTAGGTGGCACTCACACACTTTTAAATCTTATGTTAGACAATTGGGCACTGGGACTCTTGATTAGTCTTGCTAACTGTTTTATTTTATTTCAGCTTTTTTCAGCCTGGGCGATATTTGGATCATTGGGCATAGCCTGGTGGCTTGGGCTGAGCATTTCCTGAAGGAGTATTGTTCCAACACTTCTTTGGGCTTGTTTAACCTTAGTCGTACAATTTGGTTTGGCGACAGAGGCATGAAGGGGCCGTCTCTCATGCCTTACATGAAGGTGTTGATTCAGTCCCGTCCTTCCCCCTGGGCAGTGGTTGTTCACCTGGGGGGAAATGATTTGGCGCATGTACCGTGTCTACAACTGGCCAAACAAATTGTTAAAGATTTGGAAGAATTACAAGCAATGTTGCCTTGTGCGAAGATAATTTGGACCAAATTGGTGCCCTGGCGATCATGGTCTGGTGCACAAAAAGATTCTGCCATCAATAATGCTCAGCGGTGGCTTAATCGCTTTGTGACTAAACAACTGTTAATAGAATGCTGAATAACAGACATGCCCCTCTTTAACAGTTGTTTAGTCACAAAGCGATTAAGCCACCGCCTAGCATTATTGATGGCAGAATCTTTTTGTGCACCAGACCATGATCGCCACAACTTTATTAAATAGTACAGGGTCAAATTATTATTAAACATAATAATAAATCATCTTTGCACAGGTGGAGAGGTGTATCCCATCATCACAAAACAGTTGTGGCTTATCCAACTTAATAGAATGCTGAATAACAGACATGCCCCTCTTTAAGTTGGATAAGCCACAACTGTTTTGTGATGATGGGATACACCTCT